AGAATAAAACCTACCAAATGACAATTGTAAAGCCATACATTTTAATCTTTTCAGTCCTCGATATTCATTAACCAGCAGATGTCAGGGCATCACTTACTATTTGACTGAAAGGGATTTGGAGTCGAACATGAGCTGAAAAAGACCAAAGGGACAATATACACTGTATAAGTTAGAACACAGGAATCTGCTACTATTAAGCAATGCCTCAGCTCCTAATGAGTCCCATGTTTGTTTACAGGTATCAGTATCTCTGGAGGTATGGAGTCAAGGGTCCAGCCCATGATAAAGATTGAGAAAATCTTCCCAGGAGGAGCCGCGTCTACAAATGAAGCTCTGAAGGTGAGCAGTGATACATGATTTTTTTTTTTATTCTCAGCTAAGTCTATGTTTTCATTGCCCTTTGTTTGAGTGTTAGCAATTTCGACTTTTCATCATCAGTTTTTCAACAGATTGCACTTTTCCCTCATTATAACACCCTGACTTTAAACCACACTAAATGTCCGTGCGGACAGGTCCTTACATGTGTGTGTAAGGACCTGTCACACACGTGTCCTGTGGTTATGACTTGTTGCTGCTATAAGTAAGAAGAGAGAGGTTGAAGGTGATGCAGGGACTGGAGACGAGATGAGTCGAGCGCGATCTCAAGTAGCCCATCACCTCCATTATTCATGAGGTACATAAGCACTACTCTGCTAATGTATTGGTAATATATTGGCTGCACAGTAACTTAACAGTCATCTGTGATCTTGGCCTGGTTCACTTAAACACACATGATACACTCATTCACTGCACTTAACCACAGGCTCATTCATTAAGGGCCGGAGTCAAAGATAAGAATCAATCAACACTTGCTGTCAAATGTCAATCAAGAAACCTCAGTGAGAGACACAAGTGGGTGATCACTCTCCCAGGACGGACAGAAGTCCAAAAGATGCCACGTGTAACTGGGTTTAATAAAGGTTGTAGGATAAACTCCCCATGTGGCATTAATATCTGTACCATATTATACAGGATAACTGAAAACCTACACCTGCTGGTGGCGCCAGAAGTAACATCAGGGGTTATCCAATTCCAGAGAATTAATCTTCCAGGGCACACGAATGACAAAATGTCATGGTTCATCTAATCATTGTCGAGAAATGTGAGTCTGCATCACAGTAGTGGACTGAACTGACATTTCTCTCCTTGCAGCCGTGCACGTCACTGAGGTTATAAACAAAGATGTTAGAAGCCTCAGACACAGATATGAAGCCACTTCTGTTATCTCTACCTGACACATCACATCATAGGCTCCCTCCAATCTGCTCTGTGGCTCACTGCTATCTCCCCCTGCTCTGTAAAGGGAAGTGAGACCAGGCCAGGCCAGTGTTAACATGCATCCTGTCCCCTCAGCCACACATGATAACAGACAATCGGTGTTGTTTTGTGTGTGTATGTGAGGTCATGTGTATGTGTTCTGTCCTGTGCATTAGACTCCAACACCTGCTTTTATCTAATGTGTCATGTGCCTGCATTTAACTGGCTCTGAAGGAGGGCACAGTAAAGAGCGCTGCATGTGATGGCTGAGTGGATTTGACATTGTGATTTGTAGGCTTCTGTGTGGTTGAGGGCTTGATTCAGTTTTTTATTTGTACCACTGATCTTTTTAATCACAAAGCTGTTAAAATTGTTGCTGCATTGGTTAGTTCACCACCACCCTCATTGATATAAACAGGGTGGACAAAATAAAAGAAACACAAAACAGCACCACAAACTGTCTGGATGTGTTCCAGTCAGTTTTTCAGTCACACCACAGACTGGGACCAGCTCCTGTTTTTAAGGTTTTTAATGACATCTACATAAACACAGACAGTGGTGTCGACCTCAGTCTTACTGGTTCTTCAACAAAGTCGACCACAGTATCCTACCAGACAAATCTCTGGGCTTACAAAACTGGTATACAAATAAACGTGCCTTGCCTAACAATCAACTCACAATGTCACTTAATGGAGCACATACCATGGTCGAACATTTTCTTCGTCCATATCTGGATAATTATCTGGATTTGCATCAAACTGTACAAACTTGTAGATCTCAACACCACAAATACGCCTGAATTGTATGAAATCAATGAAAATGCTAAAATTAGACAGGTTCTTCTCTTGCCAATCATCTTAGTACCTATTGCATCATCCTCCATAGAAATAAACGTGTGATTCAATATTACCACTTTCATAAAGGGAGGGTTCATTTCAGGACTGTCGTATTAGACTGAATTCATTTTAGCGTGGTAAACCTAATAGACACTAACTGACTCTGTGTCTCTTCTGCTTTGTTAACTAAAGTAGTTGAATGTGTGTGTAATGGTAAATGAACAAATTCTCTGATCCTCTCCTGCAAACAGTAATTTTTTCAACCAATGTTGTTTTTGGATCGTGTCGTCCACTGGCTACAGATGAGGAAGCCTCATAAAGCGCTTCGGAAATGTCTGCAAAGAGGATGGGACAGATTAGGTTGTGATCTATTTAATTCAAATAAATTACTTTTCAAAAATGAAAAAAGCCATTTTAATCTCTTCTTTGGTCAAATGGATCTAAATCTTTTGATGCAATTCTCACAAAACACTATAAGGTTATTGGTGGACACCAGATGAGCTGTAAGAAAAACCTGCCAGGACAAACACAGGGCAGCACAGATGTAACCTCCTCCTGGTACAGAGTGAGGGGGGAAAATCATCTATTTTTGTCTAATGACTGGAAAGGAAAAGGGAAAGGGAAAAAGACATGATTGGTGGGGATACAACAATGGCCATCGGCCTTGTGTGCATCTGTGTTTTGTGTTGCTAACCTTCACTGAGGCTGAGCACATGAGGCAGGTGCATCCTCGGCAAACGCTGATGACATCAGAGGAAGTTCCTTTCCTCGGGTGGTCCAAAGATTCGCTACTCTCTGCTCACATCCTGCAGGAAACAGCGAACAAACTATCCTAACTGTGTGTGTGGTTGTCTCAGTGTATGTTCTTGTTTTCAACAACCTTGTGCTGACGGGGAAACTTTATATGTGCACTAGCAACGGCCTTCAGTGTGAATATGCTAAAGTAACAGAGGAGCCCCAATTCTCTGTGGCATAAATCAGGTTCTTGCTAAGAGACATGATCACTGCAGATTTATGGAAATAATGTTGTAGAAAGAGACAGATTGCTACAGAAAAACAGGGGGAGGAAAGTGATAACATATATGCAGTCATGAAATATGAGTTGGCATGAAGGATTTACCTGTTTTACCTGTGATTGCATCTGCAGGCAGGATATGAGCTGTTGTCCGTGGATGGCGAGAGTCTGCAGGGGGTGACTCATCAACACGCGGTGGGTGTCATTCGCAGTGCGTTTGGCAACAAGGCCAAAGACCTGATGGTTTTTGTTGTCAAGGTTCCTCGCAGCCCCACCAGCGGCCCCAGGAGACCGGCTGACTAACCTCCCTGGGCCTCACAGCCAGACTGTAACTCGGGCATGAAGGACACCAAAATCTGCAGCTCCTGCGGGAATGAATAAACTCCAGGATTCACTGCACGAGAGAAAATGTGAGACAGGTAGAGCTCTGGTCCCAGCGGAGAGGAGTGGATGCACAGTCTCGTCGCTCCTGTTAAAGGCAGAGTTGTGACAAGAACTACAAAGACATTTGTCACGAACAGAGGTAAAAGCTCGAAGCAGGTTTTAAAGACTGATACAGTAGCTTATTTATCAGAATAAATCACTTTCACTATGATAAAATGTAAGATACTGTGTTGAAGCATAACCTAAACTGGATGTTGCACCTATACAACATTCTTAACTGAAAACATTCATTGCACAATAACTCGACTAAAAGGAACTACTGCTTTCTAAAGGGTCTTTCATGATAAGATCGTGTGGTTCATTCAGTCTTTGGTTCAAATTGTGCCACTGTTTGACACTTAACCCCCTTTCTGTGACCTCTGACCTCTATCTGATAGTGAAGCCAGTGGTCTGAACATTTCAGCTGGACGATCTGACTCCAGCAGCCCTGCAGGCCTGCCAGAGGGAGATTACCCCAGCCTGCGTTATGAGATTTGGAGATTTATACTCAGATTAAACCCCTGTATTATGTCAAAACTGATAGTTTGGGTTTAGAGGATGTCTGGAGGGGATTATTCCAAATTGCTGCTCAGTAATTTTTTGTGCTGTATTTTTCTGGCCTAAGTGCTCGTGCTCTGGAGCAATCCGCCACTTTAGAGGCTTAATTACACCCTGCTGTGGACTGAGCTTATGCAGACATGCGGAGGAGTTGGAAAAACATGTCAATGAGAAATGCATGACATGGAGGTCGGTGGCACAGTTGAAATTAAAGTAGGCTAGAGGAGATGTGAGCAGCGAGATAACATGGAATACAGTGTGCATAGTGCCTTACTTCTGCAGATGACCAGTGGGGGAAAATGTTAATAAAATGCTGAACAAATTTGGTTTTAGTAGGTGACATGTCTCAATTTGACATGCAAATAAAAGTTTAAGACGAAACTGAATGTCTTCAATGATTCGTGCTCTTTGTTCACCATGTGTTTCAGAGAAAAACTAGAATTACAGCCCTGTGGTTGCATGCCTCCATCAACCAGTGCAGCCTCAATCTACAAACAGGTTTTCTAGACTTATATGAGGTGATCGTGACCTTTGACCCCCCCCCCCCCCAAATCTGATAAGGGAGTCTAAGTGAATATTTTTTCCAAATTTAAAAGGATTCTCTCGAGGCGTCCTTAAGATAAAGCATTCATGATACAAAAAAGGGTTTTGTGAGGTCACAGCGACCTTGAACTATGACCACCAAAATCTAAAGAATTCATCTTTGAGTCTGAGTCGAAGTTTTGTACCAAATTTGAAAAAACTTCTCTCAAGGCGCTCGAGATTTCATGTTCACAAGAATGGGAAGTGGAGACAACATGACAACACAATGCCTTTGGCCGCTCGCTGTCATTGACGTGGAGGCATAAAAAAGACAGTAAATCAACAGTCTGTCTGAGGTGTGACAACGTTTTTTAATTAAAAACACAGTCATTTGTACAAGAAATGTACACGTAAAAATATACATGGACAACTACATACTTAATGAATTATGGAGGCTGCAACAGAAGCGAAACAAAAATATGCACAAAGGGATGAAAAGAAAAATGCCACGAAAGAAAAGAAATGTGTTACGTTGCTTTGGTCTAATCACAGTGGCTACGTTCAAAATAGACACTTGGTCAAAACAATGTCACTCTGTTATACTATTTAGTGTTTTACATATTTACACAGAAAACGCTTACGCCACAATACAGAGGAATGAGATATGATGAATGAACGGAAGTCTGGGGTGAACACAGTACTTTTCAGTGAGGGAGTCGGTTTGATGTGCAGCACCTGTGCTTGTTGTTTATATGTTAACCTGTGGTGAGTGAGTAACAGTCTACGTCTGGTTAACAAAGTGAATATGGTTGGACAAACCCATCTTGTTCCATTCAAAGTCACTTCCCATAGCTGCATGTTAACAATCTATGCACGGTGCAGACTTTTGAATATCCTGACAACATGTCTTGAGCCAATGTGGCAACGTCCCACAAAACTCAGGCCGATCAAATTATCTTTAGAAGAGGTTTGATTGAAATTGAATTTTCAGAAACATCACACTTGCTTGGTTTGCATCAGCTCCAACCTCAACTCGGCGAAGACTTCACTGAAAAACCCATCTCATGCCTCTTCATGAAGGACGAAACGCACAATGAAGACATGGATCGCTGTGACTTTAGGGTAATCAAGTGACGGATCAATAAAAATGGAGACAGCAGGTCAAAGCTGAACCATAAATAAAAGCCTCTAACTGCTTTACCAGCTGTAAAGTTTGGTCGTCAGATAATGTAAGTTTGTGTCACACAGGTTATATATTGTAAACAGATTTTCATGCATTACAGTATTAGGTGCACTCTGTCTATGCTGCTGCCTCCATTTGTAATTGATCCATCATTTGAAATATTGGTATGTGATATAGAAGTCTTTATTATTTGCATATTAAACCCACACATATACCAGAACTACAACAAAATATCTTCAGGTGCTATATATAAAAAATATACAACATCTCCTCCATTATATAGATTTCCATTTACCTATTGTTCTGTGATATAGACTCTTTGTAAAATAAAGGTTCTCAGCACGATACTATTGTTTCCATAGAGACCCACCACGCCACTGTGAGAGAACTGAGAGACTCAACAGCTGCGGACGCTAACATCCTTCTCATCGGTTTATATTCAGGGCTTTAACAGCCGACCGGCCTCAAGGACGTTCAGTGCTGGAGCTACTGCATCTGCAAATCCCCAAACTGAGCCAGCGTGTTCTGAAATCTGATATAACAAAGACATGCAGACATGCCAGTCGCACTACCTGTATAGCAGTCATGGAAGATTATAGTCTAGAGGGGGAGACTAGGAAGACTTTGAAAAAATGTTATTTGGTCTTTTGGCTGCCAAAAGCTAAATAAAGAGCACTAATGGGAGAGAAGCTGAATAAATGGAAACTCTGAATAAGCATGCCTACGGTTCAAACACTGGCTTATATCTCTGAGAGAGGTGGTGACCAAGCTGAAGGAATATGCTCCATTTACAGTTTCCTGCTGCCGACTGCGGAGGTGCTTTTCAGTGTTATAAAAATAGTTGAGACAAGAGCAGATATAGAGATAGAAGAGAGACAAAGGCAGAAGAAGACAGAGAAAAAAGGAGAATCAGCAGCATCCTGTTGATATCTACCATGCTACAGTCTGCTTCCTCGTGCTACATAAAAATGTAAATGTTTATGCCAGAGCTTGTGAATGAGCTGACACCTTGATCAAGTGCAAAAGCAGAGACACTTGGTGGTCTAGAAAACATGACCAGGCATTCAAATAAACGGTTTGCTTTGAACTTTGAGCCTCTACATCCTCTGCGGTTTGGGAAAGGGCAGAAAACGACGTCCACATGTAAGCAAACCAAGAGCCAAATGTAAATCCTGGTTTGCTTTGAGTGTGATCGCTTGCTTCACTTGAAAGAGGAAGGGAAGTTGTGCAAAATAATCCTGTGTTTCCCTTGGTGAGTGGATTCTTCCGTTGCCCATTTATACTGCATTTCTCTGGAGTGGTAACAGTCACAATACATTCCTTCTCAAATACAAACTGCTGCAGAAATACTTCTAGAACAAAAGTATTCTTATCCTCTGCATAACATGAAGTGAACTGCTGATCATCTCAACACTATAAAATACAAACAGTAGATGTTGTAATATTATAGTGTTATTTCCCTTTTAGCAGTTACATGGAAAACCAGCGGTCGTTATTTGTGTTGCACAACGACTGTATATAAAGATGCATGAAATGACGTGGCCCTGAAAGTGACGCCAAATCATCTTGTTGGCCGGCTGCAGAACAAGTCATACACCAAAGTTAAACCCAGTTCACACTACATCACTGGGCAGCTAACACAAGACAACTTGCTTCTTGTGATCAGGAGACTTGCAGTCGCTGTGAGTTTACACTACATGACTGACTGACAACAGGGGTCACATACTACATGATCTTTTCCATCAGACAACACCCCCCCGACTAGAGTGTCTTTAATCACGTGAGAATAGACAAAGTCTGAGTATGAGTGATCCATCCTGCTCACAGAATGACACATCAAGCTGGAGGGGGTGAAATGGTTCAGTGGACACAACAGTGGTAAAGAATAGAGAGCAGCTCAAGTTGGTTTTTTCTGTCCAAGCCTGTCTGAGGCTGTAAACCAACGGAGCCTGACCAGCCAGTCAGACATTCGTTTTTTTTTCCATCCGAACCCGACATGATGCTGCACTGCTTGTTTTTAAACTTGCTTGTTTACCCCAATTACTGACAAAAATCAGGGGGCACCTCATCACTGCATGTAGCCCACCTCCACCACCTTCACCCTGTACTACACTGATTGGCTGGAGTTATTGCCAACTCTGACAACATTTCCAGCAGGTTTGAAATCTTATAGGAGTTTGCAACATGTTACGTATGTTTGCAAGTTGCGACTGCCGATCAAGCATCGAGCCGAACATTGTGTGGTGTGAACTAGGCTTTAATATATGGGATGTGGACCTAACCGAAGAGTCTACGCGAAACAATTTGTTTCTCAAAGATGTTTTTTGTAATTTCAGGTAGTTCTTACCACACCGAGGTTTTTCGAGTGTGACATTTTATTTAATAATTTGAAGCCATAAGATCACGGTGAAACTTTATGGCTGAAAGCTGAGTATGAGTTTGTACAGTAGGAGGAAGTGGGGAAGTGTCATCCATCTTCATATACAGCCTACGGAGTTGCATATGAACACAGCTTGGACATGATCAACAGTGGTGGTGTTGATGTTGATGGGACTAACTGTCATGATGCATCATAACATGCGTGCTGGTGGCCCGGTGTCTGAACCTTATGTGCTACCAGGAAAAGTGCGACTACACTTGGACGTGTGTTAACATTTTTTGCTTCAAGTTCCCGCCGATGTTCGATACCCTGATTTGAACGTGGTCTGCGAAAGAAAACACTTTTAAAAACTGCTTTTTCAACAGAAGTAAAGAAGTCTTTGTGCTGGCTTTGTACTGGGATGAAACTCATTGAAAGCTCCAGGGGCGGGCACCTTGTAAGGATTTAGTGGAGTAAGAATTCTCCTTTGGCCGATTTTCGTTCTGACAGTTATAAGTGGTGAGAGCTCAGTCAGTGGTCCAGGTAAAACCATTTCAAAGAGTTCAATATTTGAGTTCAGATTTTTGTGTGTGTTCCTGTGCTCGTATTACTGCAAGTGTGTGTGTGTGTGTGTGTGTGTGTGTGTCTAGATCTCAGTGGCCGTGATTTCCTCAAAGTGGATGTCGTTGCTGCCGCTGTGAACCTCATAGTCCTCCATGTCCCTGTTCTCCAGCTCCAGACTCAACTCCCTCATCACTCGCTCCAGGTCCCTGTTTCGACGGTACATCTGGATGTAGTTCTGCTGCAGCTGTTTCTGGTAGCGGATGACCTGTGTGAAATAAAGAAAAACAAAAACCAGTATGTGAGGATGTGAGGAAGTTTAAATGTATGCATCTAGATGTCTATTATGCATTCACCACCATGAACAAAAAAATGCCAATGATGAAGACAGAGTGAATCAATGGTTCTTCTTCTTCCTTTTTACCTTTTCCTTCTCCTCCTGCCACACCCTCCTCTCATCCTCGAACCGTGAGAGGTGCTCTTCACTCGTCCTCCTCTCATACATAAGCTCCGCCTTCAGTCTGTCCACCTGAGAAAAAGACACAAATAACTTCTTGAAAACCTGTGTGGATATATGTATGTATAAAAGGACACATCATATATGCAGGTATGTATGTATATTTTTGGTCAACAAGTTTGAATACATGTCTGAGAACATGAGAAAAAAGAAATGAAGGAGCCTATTTTAACTACCTCATACACTGTTTATTAGTTGTATCTATAATAATGCACTTTATCTTATAAACCTGTCATGTATATTTTTATAATCAAATCAATAACTACAAATGTGAAATGAAAGAAGAGTAGTAAAGAGTAGATTCTTCTGAAATGTGTCGGAGCTGAAGAACAAAGTAGCACAACATGGAAACAATGCCTTGAATCTCAATTCATTACTAAATCTACTTCAGTACTTTGCACTGCTGCTGTGTTTTCTTATTTATGTAAAATCCTGTACCTGTTGCCTGAGTCCCAACACTGTTTCTGCATTCTGCCTCTGAGCCTTGGCCTCATCACTCTCTCCACCCCAGACCAAATGAGTCTCCTCTCCATCTCGGTACAAAGAAGGACTGGGACCGGCCCTTCCTGCCACACCTCTCCCATGTTGTAGGGACAGGTTTATACATTGCCCCTTCATCATTGCATTTCCAGGTATAGAGGTGTGATTGGACAGAGTGTCACGGAGACGGGCCGACTCCTCCTCCAAACGGCCCACTTTCTCCCGCAGCAGCTCTGCTTCACTCTTGCGCCTCTGGAGTTCATTCTCACAGACTTCCAGCTCCAGTGATCGCGTCCGCACGGCTGCCTGGGCCTCCTGAGATCGAACCTGGCTGGCCTGCAGTTCAGACCGGGCTTCTCTGAGCTGGGCCTTCAGCACAACAATGTCTCCTGCCTTCTGGCTCAGCTCTGACTGGATCTCCTTCAGCTGCTGTTTCAGGAGGGAGATCTCTCCTGACTTCTGACACACCTGGAAGGGGGAGAGAGGAGGAACTGTTTCTCAGGGCAGATTACAAACTGACTAGATGACTTGAGAATGAGGTGAGAAAGAAATGGGCAATGACAAGCAGCAATGGTCCTCTGATAAAACTCAAGTAGGAACACAGCGGCTCATTATTGTTGGTACCTTTAATCACTGACTCTCACCTCCCACTTTGTCTCCTCCAGACGTGGCCCAAGCTGCGTTTGCTCCCTCTGGATGGTGGCACACCTCCTCTCCAGAGTCTCTCTGTCCTGCAGCAGTGAGGAGAAGTCCTCCTGCAGCTTCTTCTTCTCCTGCTGTAGCTGAAATACCTGACAACACACAGAGACGTGTCTTTTCAAACTTATTTTAAATACTTAATACTGTATCTCTAATAAGATGTGCACACTCAAAGAGAAAATCTCCAAACTCATCAGTTAAGAATTGACTCATATATGACATTATATACTTGACATTATACAATAGATGTTTTGAGAGTTTTTTAAATTCTTAACATACCTGTAACTGTAACACCTGCTGTGCCCTCTGGGCCTTCTGAGAGGCCTGCTTCATTTTTGAGGAGCAGCTCTGTCTCATCTCCTCCATCTCTCTTTCACAGCGACGTTGCTTCTCCTCATACACCTGAGAGCAAAAGACATGTGTGAGTTTCTCGGGTGTTTTCAAAGACAGTTTGATCAGTGTGGTTTGGCGAATGTCTTCATGCCTCACCTGGCAGATAGCAGCTTCATTCTCATCCAGATTTTCCCGAAGCTGCTGGAGCTCCAGGTCTCGCTCCCTCAACTTCTCCTCCAGCTCCCTTACTACTGCCTCGTAACCCTCCACCGGTGGTGGCGAGTGGCCACAGGAGCCGCTGTCTGACAGGGGCTGCCCGCGCCCACTCAGCGACCCCGAGCCTGTGCTCTTGCTGGATGAAGAACGTCCACTGTCCGAATTAGTATGACCATGGGTCCCACTTCCACCTGAAGTGTTTCGACCCAGGCCTGTGACGGGCTCTAGCTGGCCCCCAGAGCCAGACCCAGAGCTGGAGCCCTCACTGGGGGCCAGACTGTAGCCTGTACTGCTGTGAGTGGGGAGGCTAGAGAGGGAGTTCCTCCCTGAATCTGACATTGAGCAGGACTGGCTGCTCCGAGGATTGCGACCACCACTGTAGGAGTTGCGTTTCCCTTCCGAGCTGGAGTTGCTGCTGCCTCCGTTAACTTTGGTGCTGCTGGAGATATTGGATCCTCCGAGGGGCAGCAGGAGGCTGAGGCTGGCCTGGCTCTCTGACAGACTGGTGCCCCCTGGTCGCGGTGACAGGTACTGAACGGAGTGACGATTCTTGGGAATGACGGGTTTGAATGCCGTGGGACGGATCAGCACTTTCTCCATGTTCTGAAAGCACAAAATTATAAGAACAGCATTAGTCATTGAAAAATACTAAGCTGGGCTAATTAGAAACAGTCAACTAAACTCATTATGGAGGGGTGAGTGATCCGATGGCAGGTCAACCCTCCAGGCTCTGATTATTTTAATTTGGTTTAATTGATATTCATGGTATTCATTTAGCAATTTTTAAAATACTTTTTCAGGAGGGGGGACAGGGATAAGAGAGGGAGAAATGGAGGAGAGTCTGATTAAAGGGCAGAACAACAACAAGGGGGAAGGAGGAGAGTAGAGGAAGAGACGAGACAAAGACAGAGAGAGTAAAAAACTCCTCACGTTCCGTAAGTATTTTGCTTAACAACCATCCTCAGGGTTCATTAACTACATGGCTGAATGTAAGTGAGCTCTGACATTGATCATCATGATGTGTCTGCAAGGTGAGCAGCTGTCAAATGATCCATCTGAGCCTGTCGGGGCCAATGATTAAGTTTCGCCCTGAATCGATGGAAATAAATAGCCAATTAGACAGCTGAGGTAACCTTCTGCAAAAGGTGTCAGCACATGGGGCAGAAACGTTCTTGTCTGCAGGGTTTCATCGGGACAGTGTGTTTGCGAGAGGGCAGAGAAAAAATGTCCTCACTGTGATATTGGATGTCAGTCTGTGATCATGAGCTGTAATTTAAGAGGACGTTTTTGCAAAAAATATCTTCAGGTCAGAAGTCATGGTCAGTTACACAACAGCACTTATGGAGCTAGCAGGGATGAACTTCCAGGGGTCTCAGGCTGTTTTCTCGATTTTTACATGTCTTGTTTAATTTGCCTTTTAGAGACACAGCATATAGCATGATACTCACATGTTGTGGACAAATGTTTTCCGCTTTGTGTAATTTGAAAGGTTCTGAGAAATTCGTCTAATTTCTTGTGAAAAATACCGATTCATTCATGTGGATGAATTGTTTCGATGCCTGCAAAGGGTTTACCAAAGTCTTAGGTTCACAAGTAGTGGAATATATGTCTAAAATAGTACATGATTATGACATAAATGTCTTAACTGAAATATCTACTTTCACCAAACATTAGAGAGACTAAGATAAATAGGGATTGTATAATGTTCTCATACTAGATATCAATTTCAGGGAGAACAGACAAATTGAGGCAGATACAGAAAATTGTAGAGCTTTCCACCACCTCTAAAACAGACTTCATCATTGGATCATCATCTGTCGGTCTTGCTCTATGACCTCCTTCTCTTACCTTCTCTAACTGTCCAGACACTGGGATGAGTTTGGGTGGAGGTCCTCCAATGTTGCCATTCAGTGTACTGTTCTCCCTTTGCTCCTCTGAGTCACTGCAGGGGCTTGCAGCTGCCACCAGGTTGTCGTTCCAGTCCCCGACCACCACCTCATCGCTCACGTACCCATAGTTCCCATTACTGCCACCTACTTTTGCAGCCGAGTTTCCGGGCCGAGGCTGCTTCTTGGTGGGCAGCGGTGGGGGCAGAACCTGGGCCTGTGGCTGCGTTTGGTGGCTGATAACCAGCAACTGCTCTAAAGAGCTCCCGCTGCGGAGGGTGTTATCCTGAAGCCGGAAGCAGCTTGTAGCTGGTGTGGAGCGCCGTGGTTTGGTGACGAACTCGCTGGCCGCCCGGCAGTGTTTCTCCTGGTACGTCCGGCCCGATATGAGACTGCTGACAGAACCCATGGCTGTCCCGGAGCTGCAGGGCCCACAGGGGACAGAGCAGGGGCCTGAGGGGGAGTGGGATGATAGCGGCCGGCACTGCTGGACTTCGAGACCTGGATTGGAGTGGTCAGTCACAGTCACTGGTAGTGCCTGAACCAGAGCCATGGCAGCCCGACGCTGTCAGACACACCACACACTATAAGGAGAGAGAGAGAGAAAGAATTTTCAAATTCATTTTCATGCAACAGATGTGAATGTTACAAATGTTCTCTTGAAGATATTATCTTTTACACCAGTGATTTTCCATGTTGTAAATCTATGGTTCCTGCAGGGTGTTGACACTCGCTAATGCGATTGGTGCTTAAAATCACATCCATGTGTAAAAAGTTATATGAATGAGACTCATTATGTGGTAGATTGCAAGCAGTTCTTTACTGTCCGTGTTAAATTATGAGGCTATTAAATGGTTTGTATTGAAATGATTAAATACATCAACTTCAATGCAATAAGATAGATCCACTGTACATGCCAACTTAGTACGATTAAAAACAATCCTCTTAGCATCTATGAAGCCAAATTATTTATTGATTTCTTTCCAGCTGGTTGTCACTCGCAAAACTCATTAGCTGCAACCACTTTACAGCTGTTCATTTGAGATCTTCCTCCAGACGGAGCAGGTCCCCAGACCCCCACTTCTTCCCCGTGAGGGCTCATCCCTCATTAAATACACTGCAGTGGCATCTCTAGCAACGCCACCGCTAATTGTCCAAGTCATTAACGAGGCAGGAAGATAAAAAAAGAGGATGGATTTAGTAGAAACAGAGGACAACACAGACAGAGGGAGAGAGAATGAGTCATGGTCATCACAGTCTGCAGCTGCTCTGTGATTTTCCTGCATGTCCTGGTCTGAACCTGTGAGCAGTCATCTGTATCTTACTTCTAAAGGCGTTTGAAATCTAGTCACTTTCCTGATGCACGATCACAATGCTCACAGGCCTGTGAAAAAACTCTTTGAATAAACTGAGCCACTATTTTTAGGATGAGAAACATGGATACACATTACTATAACACAGTAAGTGGCAGAAGATTAAGGTCTTCCATTTGCAGATAGTATTATCAGTGTTAGTTGCCTGTGGGGACAGAGAGGGGACACATATCCTGAGCCTGTCGTGCCAAGCCCAAATCCGTCTGGCCAAGTGGAATAATCCACGCCAGCTATGGCTGCACTCAGTCTGCCAGGACTAACACAGGCATACAAACTGACACCCATAGAAACACACACGCAGACACAGCGCATCAATCATGGAAGTCCCAGAGGAAGTGTATGGTCTCCAAAGTAAATGCCAAAATAGAAAGGGGGCATGGTTTTGTTTATTGAAGCACAATTGAATCAAGGAATTAGATCAGATAGCGCCTCGTTGCCAGATTCCATAGAAATGTGTCTTGCTCGTGTCTACACAGGAGGTGCAGTGTGAGCAGCACGTTTGCAGAGGCAGCTTCAATGCAATGTGTGTGTGTGTGTATATACAAAGGAGGTGTTTGAGTTTTAGGTGGCCTGCATTTTAACAATGCTCAGAGTCCAATACACAATCACTGCAGTTATGTCAAATGGTAGAAAATAGACGTTGAAGTGTAAACATATGCATTTCCTGATGGATTGCACAAGTGAAGCATGAGCAATCCAGCCGAGTCCCGACATTGTCAAGAAAAGGAATCGGAATGCTGCAATACAAGCTCGAAATGGTGAAACTGCTTTCACTGTGTGACGTGGACATTTCAGAATGTCACTTCACCCCCACGCCTCAATTATGAAAGTTACAATTTTAAGATGATTTTCAAAGCTCAAAAAAAAAACACTTGGTTCGAAACATACTGATGTTTTTACTTGTTATCAGTTGTAATCTGGTGACCACGCCCACTATAGTTAGTGCTAAGTCAATTGTGACGTGAGAAAACAATTCCTCTTCCTTCTTTCACTTTTCATGTGCACAACCAGGCTCAACACCATACATTCCTTTGAGGATGGACTGACCCCATCCCTGTTTGCCTTCAAGTATTGCCAGGTATGAGTGGAGGTGATTTAAAAACACCCCATAAAACTAACTCTACCAAGGCAGATGGATTTATCCCCTGCAGGAATCCATCTGCTCAAAGAAGCAGAAACACAGTGGTTCAGACCAAAAGGTCCTGCAAGGGAGGAACTGCTGGCAGCTACAAGTGTGTCTGTGGTGTGACGAGTGAGAAGCGAGAGTTTGCAAGGTTTCATCAAGAGAGACTTAAGACTTTTAAGACCACAATGATATGATGAAAGTTTAGACCTACGTCAAGTACGACAGATATGATACAGAATTACTTACACATCCCCTAATTTAAGATGATAAGAAGTAGCTGAATAGAGAATAACCCTCAAAGCGCTGTGTTATCTCCGAAACTATGCAGACAGTGAGTATCCATATTTCCCACAGCCACGCCGAATGTACTGCTATACATTCTGACTGGGGTGTTTGTTCCACGTTGGTCTTTTGTTTCACCCAGTTTTATTCTTTATTTCATGCAGCGTGCTAATATCTGCATTGTCAAGAAAGAACTAGGGCACAAGGAAACATGATTAACTATGCATGATGCCAAAACATTTCTCTTATTTTAAGAGAGTGTATTTTAACATATTTAAAACTTTTTAAGGCCTAAAATTCAGGTAATTGGATTTTTAAGAATAACAATGAACGCATATGTGAAATACACTGAGATAGTTCATCATCTGCCAAGTATTTTTTTAAAGCGCCTGCTGTTTTCCAAATTGTTTCTGATGAAGCTCTCCCAGATGGTTCTGTGAAACAAACCATGTGGCACTCAGATCAATACAAACTAGTTCAGTTTAAACATATTCAAGAAAATATTGATTGTGGAGGATTTAGGAGGTGAAAAGGGCATCCAGGATGTAAATGTACAGTAAATGTTCAAATTACAAAATATGGATGAAATATTGTGACTTATTGTTACATTAAATTGTGATAATTCATCAAGATCATGCAGCTCTACATGGGACTTGAGGGTTGCTATATAAAAATACAAATGCAGTGAGTGAGAATGAGCTAAAGAGAGACTTCACAAGTACACATGAGTCAAGAGATAAAGATATGTGTGGTATGCAATCACTTCCCATGCAAAGAAAAAATAAAACATCACGCCTCTCACCCTCCTTTTACCTTCTTATCCAGCCTCCCCACCGCCCAGCCCTGACAAGGACCTCTCAGGCAGGGATAATAGAATTAACAACCCTGTGAGACCGTCAACCGTGACCCCCACAGCCTTAACCCTGCAACCCCCCCGATGAGTAGAGGGGAGCCGGTCTGATTCTCTCCTCCCACCCCTGTGACCTCCAAGGGTCTGTTTTTGTTCTGGGTACTCGGGCAACAAATCTCAAAAGCTAATTTCCCCCTCTGATCTCGCTCAGTGGTTATTTCTCAAGAGTTATTGAAGCCCTCCTCCTGCCCTCCTTGGCTGCATTCCTCTGACAATGTGAAAATACCTTTTCCATCTCTGCAGCCTCCCTTCCACCACCTTCCTGATTATACGCATCCTTCTCTGTTGTCAGCAGCACAAGACAGGCAGAGAGGAACCAGTCATGGTCACTAAATATAGAAAACATCTCAAGTGCCTGAAATCATTCTGATAGTCTTTCATGAGGCGTTTCTCTCAGCGAGGCATTTGATTCGATGTTCAAAAATAAACTCCTGTAGTGTTGCAGCCAGCTATTATGGGGTCAAACCAGGGGCACTTTACACTGCATCCTGACACTCTACAACTATTAAATGATGCCGGGTGGCTCAAAGGCAGCCTCTCTGCCTCTGACAGGGGCTGAAATTACACCAAGGGTTTGGGAGAGTTTACCCTCCACAGGGCACCAACTGGCCGAGGATGAGTGAGAGCATTACTGACAGGGGCAAGAAGTTCCCAGGTATCTCTCTAACAAGATCCAGAAGTAGGGGTCTATCATGGGGAAATAATCCCGTTATGATAAGTCTGTTAATAACGCCGGTATTACTCAGGAGAGGAAGCCCATTATTCTGCAGCACCAGATCGCCCCTCGCAATCACACGCAACCTTCAAGCTCTTCCGGAGCCTCTGCAGTGAGTCAGGATGGAAACAGAAAAGCTAGACGAGGAGGGAAGAAAAAGAAGGGGGTTTCAGGGGTGAGGACACAAAGGCGGGTGGGTGGAGGTGATGGTTGGGGGTATAGAGGAATTCCAATGCCAGGTAGTCCAAAGAGAGGCTCCAAAGAGGCCTGAGCTCTTGGGAAAATCAGGCATCTATAATCCGGTTTGGTCATTATTTGGAGAGCATACAGACACCGGGGTCTGAGCACCTTCAGATCTCCTGACAAAATCAAACCTGAAGGGAGACATTGTTTCCAACCTAAAGCATTTCCTCTACTGCTCAGTGCCAAACATGTCACTGAATTTAGCCTAAGTGAGTCAACTTTTCTCTTGTTTCTCATCTTCCTTCCTCATGTGCCTCTTTCAGATAAAGTTTTAAGGACAAAGAGGAGAGAAATGACAAGGCTTCAATAGACGTGAGCTTTAACTATGAAAACAAACCGAGATGATGTGTTTTCAAGAGATCTATAGTGAGGCCAACCAGGACATGAGTGACCTGTGGAGCTGTGGGGCATGACCCAAGGAAGCACCCATTTGCTGCATATCTGGTCCAAGTGGTGAATCCACCTTTCCACCTTTCTTTAACACTATGAGATTTATTTCTCAGAGAATAATCCATGGATCTTGATGGAACAAAACAGCCATGTTTAGGGGATATTTATAGATGTCTGTGCAAGTCGACACAGAATCAGATTCAAATCTAAAATCCAGATCTAGTGAATGTAAATGTGGTTTCATGAGGCGACTATTGAGTCTTGATGTATGAGGTATGCACAGTGTCATTCTGATTCTCTGTGGACTGATCACTAGGACTGACCCTGTTCCACATTACAGTAATTTGATCCTGATTAGAGCAGCTTTAACCTTTTATAAAGGTGACATCTTCCTGATTAACTGCTGTGTTTTTAGGGTCTTTCACCTCCTTCCTCCACTTTCATCCCTCTTTCCTGTCCCTGCTCATTTTCACCCATTTCCTCTTCCTTGCCTCCTGTGCTGGATTTTTGCTCC